GAGAGAGAGAGAGAGAGAGACGACGACGACACGTAAGTACGTAGTTACGTAGTAGTTAGTTTGTACGTTGGTTCGTACTAACTAACGTCTTCGTTCTCCTCCTCTCTCTCTCTCTCTTCTACTAAGGGGTTGTTTGGTACCTCTATTACCATTACGACATAATGGATTACAAGGAAATTTGTCATTTCTTGCGTTTGGGTAATGCATATAGTATACAGGAAATGAAAATGGAACTCCTAATATTGTTCCAAAAATCGTGAAATTGATTACACATCCAAAGGCTAAGAAATCGATTACATGGCGCAACAGGTAATAGGAATACCCACAGACCCGCCTAAATTATAAACTCCACCGCATTCACTTGAGGTCCCCTTAAAAACACCCTTCCTCTCTCGGTCCGCTTAAAAATATCCTTCCTCTCTCATACACACATTGGGTTCTTTTGTGTTTCATCGACAATTCTTTATGCCCAGTTTTGTTCTTGGATTATAAGAAGAATGTGGATTGGGATTGTAGGGGCGGCAATGGACGCAGACTTGGACCCAACCCGGAACCCGACATCCGGACCTGACCTGGGTCTAGGTATGGGCCAAGAATTGGACCCAGCGGGTCAAGTCTGGGTCAAAATATTGGACTCGAAAACTATTCGGATCCAGGTTTGGGTCCATATGGACCCAACCCGGACCTGACCCAAATAGTGTTATTATATAATATTTAATATATAATATTTTAATAATAATTAATATTTAAATAAATAACAATAATTAATATTTAATTTTTTTTATTTTTTTATGTTTTTTATTTTTTTGGGGGTTGGATCCAATCAAGTCCGGAGAGGTCCGGGTCCCTTTTTTTTTTTTTCGGGTCTAGGCTTGGGTCCAATTGGACCCAAACCCAACCTGACCCGTTGCCAACCCTATGGGATTTGTACCTGAATACTCTGGTTTAATTTCAACTGATATTTTTATCTTAAAAGAGAAAAAATATTAAGAACTTAAAAAAAAAAAAATCACATTATTATAGGTAAAATTCATGCAATATTTTCAAGTAAAAAAGACAGTAATATACTTCCCAAATTTCTTCTAGATGTAGTCAAACGGTCGCAACATACTTCACATTATATATCCGGATGCTACCGAAACAACAATAATTTATTTTTAGGCAATGTATTACTCAGGTAATGTATTATGCTAGTAATGTATTTCACATATAGTATATTTCCTGAAATGTAGTACTGATATTATGAAGAGTATGAATTAAACATGGACTGGTTTTTCTTTACATGTGTTTGCAATGGGTATTGATTTTATGTGTTTGTTGTCATTTTGATGATCTTCATGTGTAAAGCATCCAAACAGCCATATCTAGCAAATAAAATCTGCTTCATTTCTCAATTGAGAATGAAAAAATTCAATTTTTTTCATTGTGAAGGTTTTTTATTGGACCTCCAAACTGACACTAAATTATACATATAGACCAAAGTAGCAAAGCCAAAAAGTCATAATGATCTTTTATTTCAGACATTGAGTTCACAATAGTAGGAATAAATATAATGCATATTTACCTGTTCATTTACAAAAATGATTCCAGTTTTCGGGATATCCTGCTGAAGTAAGGAGAGCAAAGTCTGAAGTCTTTCTTCCTTTTTACAAGTCTGTGAATAAACAATGACAACCAACAGCTCAACATGGAATTCTCAACATTTTACGAGGCAAATTAAATCACTTGTTATTAGGGATTGTATACAATGAGACTATGTACCTTTGATATAAAAAGGTCACAATTACCTGTAACTATCCGATGTGAAATCTGATAGCTTGGGATGTATCACAAAGTTTGAGAAAATTTCTTTTAAACTTTGAGCTTGATCAATGAAATAAATGCAGCCACCCAATTTCACATCCAATGGTCACTACTAATTATGACCACCTAGTACCAAAGGTAAATAGTTGTTATTAATATCATTTGTTTTGAATGACTTGGGACTTGGTAAAAGTACAATTCAAGACATCATCTTGTGGCACCCCGCCACCCTAACCACCTATGCCTTGAGCCCATTCCTTGGTTTGTTATACTTTCAGCTCATTAAGTTACTTTGGTTATTGAAGCTTCAAATGAGCAGACTTGTTAAATAGCATTAAGTGTGATATACTAAGAATTGCTGAAGTTTTCTTATTGTTGTCTGGTAAAAGCAGGATCAAGATTGTCCCACCAATTTTGTGAGCCTGTAGATTTCAAACTAGGATGAAGGAAGCAACAAAAGTTTAAATTCAATTTTCCTCACCACAAATATATGGCAAAGCCGTGAAGGCATGGGCTCCACTGGATGCAAATGGATGTGAACCACATCACGCTGCTCAAGGCACAAACAGAATGCCCAAAACAAAAAACATGTCATGCAATTATCAAATAAGGATAAAGCATAATTTACTTGCAAACCTTGGTCCATTTTTGCTGAATGCAGTCATGTACGAAATGCTTATGCTGCGGAATAGATGCACTCGAGAATATTGTCTGACGCCGATCAGCTGCTGAATATGAAGTCAAAAGCTTCCGAAGAGAATGCACTTGTTTTGATGAATTGAATAAGAAATCAACCTAAGGAGATGCAATATCCCATTAGCCTGTATAATTATTAAATACCATCTACTGAGAGGTGATTACATAAATCTTTGACCCAATGTTATTAGAATAAAAAACCTATCGGAAAGATCCAAAACAAAACAGGCAAAAAATCTGAGGAAAATTTTATAAAAGAGACCAGTATAACAATTTTTTGGATAAAACAAACTGAACTCCAGACAATTATCATTGTCTATTATTCCAATTATGCTTAGTTTCAGAACATTGTATTACTGTAGATTACAACATGTAGAGACAAACCACATTAATTAGGAGATAGCTTTTTAATTCATAAAAGCTGCAGTACACTCAGCACTGAGAAGGTAGCCATGAACTTAAACAATAACAATGAGGAAATAGACTTGTGTAGGATAAAATACAAGACAAAATAAATGGGAACTCTTCAGATTTCAACAACAATAATAGGAGCAGAAGAAAATTTTCATCTAAATATGCAACAGTATAGCAGTAATGTTATTTTCATATAGACATTAAAGATGAATATCCATTCATCTATAGAATACAAGAAGATTTTCTTTGGCCAGTATTACCTCATCAATAACTAGAACTCTCAGCGAATCAAGCTTAAGATCTTGCTTCTCAATCATTTGGCATAAGCTGTCTATTGTTGCAACAACTATCTGTGGGGGTTCTGCCTGAAAGAGTAAATATTAAAGACAATAATTGGCATATCTACAACACAAGATATATGTGTTTGGTGTTCTACCTGAAAGAGTAAATATTAAAGACAATAATTGGCATGACCTACAACACAAGATATATGTATTGTTTAAGTAGCAAGAGTACCATAAAACACCTTAAGGTAAATGCTTATGGTGCAACCACGGCTACACCATAAACGAGTGCAGCTGCAACTCAAATTCCATCTCTTCCAATACTGGGGACCCAAAAATGTTGGAAAACATCTGCTAATCATTCTCCTTCATCGAAAAAAGGGACTTGCAGCTCCAAACCTGATGAAACTTCCATCCATTGCAATAGATGGTTCAGATCAGATTTTGGGATCACAATTGAAATGAAGCATTTTTAGAGTCCAAATGCCACTTTTATTTATTTCCTCAATAAGGAGATTGATCTTCGAGAGCAAGAGCATGGTTTTGGAGCCCTCTAGGTCCTCACCGACCAAAATAAAGGGGTTTTTGTGGTGAGGCTCCATGGTTTCGGATATAGTTGCTACTCCATGAAACCGTTTCCCAAGGTGATAGTGCAAACAAATTAAGAGGACATCAAATGTCCAAAATAAAAGACAGAACGAGATACTTAAATAATAGATAACCAGAAGATATTAACACCTGCATGTTAGGAAATTCAACGAGAAACATCAGCCATAAGCAGCAACCTCAGGACATGTTTTTTAGCATCATTTACAAGTTTGTACTTGTAAAGTTAGCATTGGTTAGAGAATTGCACCTTGAACCAAATCTTATGCCTTTTCAACATTCCTCCATCTAAAAGAGCCATGACAGTATAACTCCTCTGCTCCATTCCAAATTCCATAGACCTCGTAGCCAACATCCGTGCAACTTTCGTGACCTTCAAGAAATAATAGCAAGAGTAAACACTAACACTAGATAATTGTAGTGCAGGTGCCATCAATTACAAAATTGTCAAAAGGAATAGAGCTTACTTGCATACCAAGTTCTCTACTTGGCACCACTACGAGTGCTTGAACAGCAGATTGCTGAACATCTATTGCTGACAAAATTACTAGCAAATATGCTAATGTCTTCCCTGATCCTGTCTGGAAGACTAGAAAATTAACAGCGTTACCTGACCATACCATATACAATAAACAAAACTCTGAAAAATTTTCCTTCACATATAAAAGCATTATAGGAATGAGACACTACATTATGGTTCTCTAACAAACAAAAACAGGAACATGAAAGCTTAAGCACCTACCATGGATAACTGAGTTAATGGATTATATTGCAACACTAATACGCCACTATCCCTCTTTAATTAATGATACAAGATCCACTGTACAAAAACCATTATAAATTTTATTTCTTAAAAAAATCTTGTGTCCATTGATTATCAATAAGCTAGCAGTCAATAATCATAAGAGTGGTCCTACGATATCAGCAAACTGAGGGAGGATCCTTACATGGAAGACAGATATCACCCTGTCATACTCCTATAGAGCGGAGAATTAGTTAAAGGTTTCATATCCCTATGAAACACGGTTTTAGCGCAAATTATATCCACACAATGAGACAAGAGATACAGATTGAACTCCCACATTTAAACAAGTTTGCTACACATGACCAAAACAATTCTACGATCTGCCCACATATTCAAAATAGATAAGCATAACAAGCAATGCCACCCTTTTTTTTTCACATTTTGTGGATAAAATCTCAGTTTTGGTCATAAGTAATTTAACAAGTGTAAAAATGAAACTCACCAATAATAACAATAACTTTTGCAAATTGAAAATTCTATTAAGAGCAAAAAAGTGTAAAGAGTTCTTACAAACCCCAAAATCTGAACTGCAGGGTCTAGATTAGATGCAAAACTATCACCACAAGTGACATAACAAGTGAAGTAACAACCTACCCATATATAAAACAAATGTTTCAATGATGATAAATTTTTTTGCAGTGTAGCTTTATGAGGGTCGTGCCAATCAAACCAACCATCCATCCAAAATGAAACTCCACAACATTTTGAGAGAGAGAGAGAGAGAAGGAATGTGCCTGAGCATGAAGAATGCAGTCTCGTCCTGACAAGAGGGTTGGTAAGGATCTTTGCTGTACATGGGTGGGTCTCACAAATCCAATCTCTTCCGCCCTACACAATCCCACCCCGACCCCATCAATAAAGAGTTACAAGCCCTCAATTTTCCATTTTCCTTCTTCTTTTAGCCCTCTAGTCCAATCACCAATAAGAGAAAAGTTATAAAGAGAGAAGACAATGATGAATAAGTGAAGTGATTTGCTTTACCTTTGCAAAATGGTTTCAGGGACTCGGCCACAGCATATCTCTCTTAATGATGATGATGATGCAGCAAGGGAGTAGGGGGCTTCATTGTTGTTATGAGAGCAGAAGCAGTTGAGGTGGGGGTGTGGGGCTTGGGGAGTAAAAGCAGCAGCACTCCTCCTACCCCTCCTTCCCCTATTGAAGAAGAAGAGAGTAGGTTGCGGAATGGAGGAGGAGGAAAAAGGAGGAAGCCAAACGAGAGCCATGCGTGCGACAAGCTCCTCTTCAGATTTCCTGGAAAAAGAGGAGTTAGCGAGCTGTTAATTTTTTGCAGTCATTCAATAATTCTCAGATGGGGGAAGTTTAAATAAACATAATCACACATGGCTGAGAATGAAATTGAGTAGTTAAGGATGTGTTATTGATTGGGCACAAAATAAAAAATAAAATTTATCGAATATTGTGACACTTCAATATCGAAATTTACAACCAATGGCTACAATTAATTGTGGCCTTCTTGTACTAAAAGTGAATAGACTTATAGTAAACAATCCCAGTTTATAAAGGTGTCAAAAAGACAACATACCCTTCCTATTGCAGAATTAAGGATGATATTGTCATTTAACATGAGCTGGGACATGTCTCCCATTAAGCGCTCCAACACAATCCAATCAATGTTATGCAAAGATATATTATATATGAGGTAAAATACATTATATAAATAACAAGAAGTTTGTTGACAATTTTGGTACCTTAAAAAAATTAGCAAAGCTGGTGTCTCCTCAAAGCCATCCTGGCACTTATCTTCCATTGCTATTACCATTTTTTCCCAAACATGTGCGGTGAAATTTCTTTGAATTTTTTGCTTTGCATCGACCTCGTTTACCATCAACCATGAGATCAAGAAAGAAGCAATCTTGACTATGAGTCCAATAGTAGTTTCGGGATTTCTTTTCAGCCTCGGTGGCTTTCGTAGGAGGCTGAGAATCCATACCTAAAGGGAAATAGGTAGAGCTAGGCGCATTACTTTCAGGATTTAATAGAGTTTTTAAAAAGATTCCATGAGTAATGTTTTCCATATAGATATTAAACATAATGATGGTATAAAATATCCATATATATTTTGGATGGTTATGCAGCAAGAATAAAAAATTAACTTGAAGAATAATTGAACAATTCTCCCCTCGAAATATTTTTTGAGTTTTTCAACTAAAATTCACTTTTCCTTTCATTGAAAAAATCCATTTTGACTCTCACAAGAAATCACATATAATGCCAACAGATAGCAAGGCATGTAGTCAAGATTCTCTTGCATGGGAGTTATTGATAATGCTAACAGCTAGCAAGGCATCTAGTCAAGACTAAACACATGTAGCTTATGAACATCTAATAACATAAAACTCAGCATAAAATTAAATTGAGAAGGTAGACCCTCCTTTTAATAACATAAAAATTAGCATTAGTATTTTTACTCTTTTACAATGTTTCAAACATCTGGTACCACATTTGGTGTGAAAAAAAAATTATTTCAAGAATTTAGATAGATTTCTAAAAATTAAAATCAGCATTGCATAACTAATAAAGAAATACAAACAGGGCATCAATATCCAATAAAGATACATAACTATGTCAATATCAAACTGCTTATTATGAAATCGTAATCAGAAAGCATATTAATAGAAAAGAAATGGAAAATAATCCATATCCTAATAAAGAGAAAAACATTCAAAACATAACTCCAAAATTCATGGGAAGTTTACTCATGAAGCATTCGAGTAGAATCTTTCTAGTTTTAGGATAAAATTGAAAAAAAAAAAAACAACAACAAACTAATTATGCAATTTCATGACAATGAACATGCACCAGTATAAAAATCACATAATGCCTTGTGCGAACTGCACCCTATATTTCAATTTCAAACAAACAATCATGTCTCACTACATTTAAACTTCCAACTAGAGTATGGCATTCCAAAATTCTGTAATCCTGTAATTTTTGAACAAGCCCCACTACATTTAAAGTTCCAACTAGAGTATGGCATTGTGTAATTCTGTAATTTTGTAATTTTTGAACAAGCCCCACTATACTTAAACTTCCAACAAGAGTATGCCATTATGTAATTTTGATTTTAATATTTGGGTGCACATACAAACACCATGATATTTATCTTTTCAAGGGATTGAGGAGACCAAAAAAAATACTGCAGAAGCATAAGAGTAGAATCTTTCTAGTTTTAGGATAAAATTCGAAAAAAAAAAAAAAATCAACAAACTAATTGTGCAATTGTTCTCAAAAAAAAAAACTAATTGCGCAATTTCATGACGATGAGCAAGCCCCACCGTGAAAATCACAAATGGCTTCTACACAACAAGGTGATCATTCGCATCTTTGTTGCTTACCACATTACACTTATCATTCCCATATTATAGAGAGAGAGATGCAAAAAATGAATTTGTCAACTAAACCATATAAACTCACAGATTCACAGGTGATTAAATAACAAAACAATCAAGCCCAACCTCAACAAAAATCAGTCATTCATCAACATCTAATAACAACTAATCAACAGGAATTACTTTATGGGAAAGTACACTATAATCAAATTCACTATAGAAAACCATAGTCCATTTAATCATCATCATCCAGGTAAAAAAAAATTTAAAATTTTTAATGGAGACAAATCCCTATTTTAGCTCAAAGGAAATAAGCTCACTGAGGATTATTATCCAATACAAACAAAACCATTGTTTCATCATGCTAATCTCCTCTAAAAATGGTCACTGCAACAATGGTTGCGACAAATGTGAATGCAATGGTCACTGCAACAAATGTGAATGCAACAAATGTGAACAAAACAAAATAACTAATACGTGGTGAGGTTGCAGTGACCATTGTTTCAACCTGCTAATTTTTAGTCGTTTTTCTCTTGAAAATAATTTTCATTCATTTTTTACAATAAGTCAGAAGACAAACATATGCAGCACTTTTCCCCAGTTGGAAAAACTATTCATGGAGATCCTATTATTCTCTATCACCATAGCAAAAGAAACCACAGTTCAGAGAATGAATCGAAAAACTCAAACCAAGAAAATAAAGTAAGTACCCATTCTCTCTCATAGCATAAAGCCATAGAAACTTCAAATAAATTCTGGTGAGAGAAGGAAGTGGCTTTTCCATTGTTTCAACGCCACATTTACGACAAGAACCAGAAGAAGAGGACAAGAAAGAAGGAGCAGTAAAAATAAAATAAAAGAACACCAGCTAAAAAAAACCTTACCTTTTTGAAGCTTGCAAATGGATCCTCGCTAGAAGAAAATGAGGTATCTTTTATGAGGCTTGCAAATGGAGCCTCGCTAGAGGGTCTGTGAGAGAAGTTGCAGAGGGTTGAGAGTGGAGAGGGAGGCTTTGTGAGATGAAGGCAGGGCTTTGAGAGAGTGGTTAGGGCTTTTGTGAGAAGAGGGCCGAGGTTTGGCAACGGGACCCGACTGGACCCCGCCTCGACCTAAAAATAAAATATATATACGTTTAAACGTTAAGAACAATTCTTTCATGGAGGCTGGACTGCATGGCGGTCCAAAGGTATAAACTATAAAAGCATCCATCATAATGAAAAAATTGGAATGTTTTTTTAATAGAATTATTATTATTTATTTTAAAATTTATTTATTTTTTATATTCATGATCTCTATGTTAAATATTATATAGTCTTTAAAATTAGGATCGAATTTTATTTCAAAAATAAATTTACTAAAGAGCCAACATTTCTACATGTGCATACATGGCAACATGCTAATCGCGTCCTTATGTTAAATATATACTTGTATTAATTTCAAGATAAATGATACTATAAGACCCTCCCCTATCCATGTATGTAGGACCTCAAATGATCACCATTGAATTTGATACGAATCTCTATAAAAATCAAGTCCCACACCCATGTGATACCTTTTATAGAGATCTGTGCAAATTTATTGGTGATCTTTTGGGGTCTTATACACATGGGTGGAGGAGGGTCCAATAAAATCATTACTCTAATTTAAATATCATAATTATAATATATAATTATATATTTAAATATTATTCAAATATAATATATTAGTTAATATTTAGATAATAACACTATTCGGGGCAGATTTAGGTTGGGACCGCATAGACTTGGACCCCGACTAGCCAGGTCCAATTTTTGGACCCATACTCAGACCTTATTCGGGGTCCAATCGTCGGGTCCTGGGTTAGCTTCGGGTCCATTGCCACCCCTAGGGGTGCAGAGGGTTGTGAGAGAGGGGCAAGGGTTTTGTGAGAAGAGGGCTTTGAGAGAGGTCAGGGTTTGACACATAGGATTTTTGCGTTCATCAATTTTTTTTGCGATAAACCCAAATGAAACATTATTTTGGGTATGCACGAGTAATGGATCCTTTGTAGCTTGGGGATTATTTTGCAAACAATAAGTAATGATACTATGAGATCCTTCCACATATATGTGAGTAGGACCCCAAAGAATCACCTCCCTTGTAGCTTGGGGATTATTTTGCAAACAATGAGTAATGATATCGTGAGACCCTCCCGTATATATGTGAGTAAGACCCCAAAAAATTACTAGTAAATTTTGACACATATCTCTAAAAAAATTATCAATAAACCAATTCACCCAAATCCCACACCCATATGATAACTTTCCTAGATATCTATGTCAAAATTTAATAGTGATCCTTTGAAGTCCTACTCATATAAATGTGGGAGGGTCTCATAGTATCATTGCTCAGCAAACAAATTTACTCGTTGTGGTGGTAAAACCTTTTCCTGGGATAAGTTTTTAAAAACTTTACGCATGAACCAAACGTGCGTGACAGTGTGTTTCATAAGCAAGTTTTCCTACTAACCAAAAAACGCTTAGGGCAAAATTCAGCACCTTTCATGTTTATAAAAGTAAGTGATTGGGTATTTTGGTCTTTGGTTTGATGGTTACATGTGCTAAAAATCCGGTTCATTCCCTTTCGTTAGCCTCCCCGTCTATAGCGACACTCCGAATTTACTATTTTTGCCACCCCCATTATTGTACAAGTTTCGTAGCTGGCGCATGAAACCTATACAGTAAAGAAGTTCCACTTAAATTTTTTTTTTTTTATATTTAAGAAAAAAAAGTTTTTTTTAAAATGATAGAATTTAAAATAGGAACTTGGTTCTTCAAACTGTATTCTACGTCCCTTCTTATAGTTATATTTGTATTATTAATTTATATTTGTATTTACATAATATTATATTATACAAATAACTATAAATAAAATAATTTATATAAATTATATATGGTACAAATATACATTAACAATAAATATAAAATACACTATATTATATATTATATTACATTACATATAATATATATTTTATCTATAATATATTTGATTTATATAATAGATGTTTATAACATTATATAGTAAAAATATATATTAATATAATATATATTAATATATATATATATATATATATATTGTTTCATGTCTAATATAAAAAATAATATTTAATATATAATAGTTTAATGATATTTAAATAAACATGACTTTATATTTCAACGTGTTGTCAAACACAGGTACCTAGAACTTCTTTAACAATCCAGCAAATTATCAAACATATACATTTAGAACTTCCATAAATAACTTATTTATTCCCTGCAAAGAAGAACTTCCAAATTTTAGAAAACATTTACTTTCCAATTATCAAACAGGCCGTAGAGTCACTTATATTGCGCACACAAACATGATTGGCAACCAACCAACCACAAACCTATTATTCGCTTCCATGATAACTTAGAATCACTAGAATTTTTTTAAGATTGCTTGATGAGAACCAGTGAAACCACGTTCCCATTAACACTACCCCAATAACATCTTCAAAAAACAAACTTCTATTCTATTTGAAAAAATGAGTAGGACCTGTCTTTCTCATTGAATTATCCAAAAAAAAAAAAAACAAAAATTAATTTCAAGATTCAAAATTATGGGGATGTAACCTTCTAAACCCAACAAACAAACCAAAAATAAATGTTAGATATATGATCTTGGAGTACCTAAAAGAAACCACGTACTAGAATTAAGCAGAGACTGTCCAATTTTTAGATTAATTCTGAATGTTTAAGAATTGAAAATAAAATTTGCTTTATACTGTGATTCTACAATATATCATAAAATTTTAGATCAAGGAAAATCATTCTTACAAGGTCTTGTCAGATGGGCAAGTGTATATTTTGCTCTTTCAAGAGCACTGTATGAGCACCCATTTTGATACATGTTACAGTTCTTCATTAATTACGTGCAATTAAGTTGAAAAAGAGGGTTGGGGACTTGGGGTGCTTTCTTTATCTATTGCAGTTTATATTTTGCTTAAAGGCCTGGCAAACAAAAATCACGAATTAATGATCTTTAATTCCCACTTTCCCAAATGCACAAAGCAACATAAATCGCCAAGGGTTTGCATTTTAGAAAGGAATAAAAGTTTACAGAAGAGTTAAGGTGCACCGCAAAATCCTTTGAAAAAAATTGTTTTGATGTTGGAAAACTATCTAATTGATCATTTCAAAATCAAGATATATGAATATGGAAAAGAAATAGGAAAATTATAACAAATAGCCCTCAAAGTTTTTTTGTTGAACTCATTATAGCTAGATCTTTTCCATCAAACGCCCTTGCATGTAATTGTGGGATCCTCTTTCTTACCTAATATTCTCTCTCTATATAAAAATGGAAAAGCTTTTTATGTTCTCCCTACAACATAGAAGTTCTATCCTCCCCTTATCCAACCGTCTATTTTTTAATGGAGGGCAAAGACTACTCCAATCACAATGTCACGTCTCTACACTGTTTCATTTTTAATGTTTTTTTCTATAAACTAGTTTGATACCAAATTTTGGAGGTCCATTCCTCTATTAAACTCGCACAAACGAAAAATATTAAAAATATATTTTCAATAAAAAAAGACCAAAATACCTTTG